CCCCGCCCCCCCAACCACCACCACCACACACACACACACACACGGACATCACATTTTCAACCACAAAAACCCAGTTTCAAACCCATCCAGAATTGGACATAAACATGTAGGTATATCCTTCTTCACTTCCTTCCCATTGTACCATAGGAATGGGAGAATATGCACTTAGTAAAATCATGTAGTACCACTTTGCAAAGCCATCTTCTCTCCTCTTTTGGACCAAGGTTGGTGTTATCATCTTGTTGATCTCGGAGTATTTCATGTAGCCTTTTTTACCTTTTGCAGACGAGACAGCTGGCAGATGTGGGAAAATTTTAGCCATGTTGCTGCAAATATTGGAAATTTCAGTCAGGTATAGTCAACATTTTATGCAAAATCTTTTTTTTCCCCACTTAGATAATACTATAAATTGGTTGCTCCCATCATGTTTTCTGTTGATCTTTGACCGGTCAGACTTTTCTATATGTGATGCTCTTTCCATTTCAATTAATGTAAAGAAAGATATTTGAAAACTGAGTTAAAATTCAATTTCTTAATCTTCTAAGACGTCCTTCGAATCACCAGGTTGAAAAGAATTCCATAGCAAAATCTAAACTATGGAGATTCTGATGACATTTCTGATCATGGTTTAACTTACTGATAGATAAACAGATAACAAGATACGTTTGCAACAAGAAGGAAATCTTTGAGAAAGAGCTTGGGTCACTAGATGCATTAGATTCCGTCATTGGACTAGGGTTAATCTCATCTGAATCTGTAACTTTATCTCGATGTAAACAGAATTAGAGCATATTCCTGATCACGTCCAACTATGCCTTATAAAAAGGACAATGCGGTCGTTGCAAATATAATCCGGTTTACAAGTCCGGAGTCGGATCCCACAGAGAACTAAGGCTTAGCTACAACTGTTCACTATCACCAAGAAGACAAGCTTGAACAGTTCCTAACTTATAGATATTTAGATTCTTGTGTTTAACTAATTGATTAACAAATTAAAATAATAAATTAACAACTAAAGATACTAAGAGTTAGAGACAAGATTAAGGAGGTCTAGAGTTATGATTTCCCCAATTGTCGGAATCCTTCCCGCTATGTCTTCTATAATTTCGCCTAAGTATTCTCTACCGATCATGAGCACTCTTATTACCGTAAATCTCTCCCGAGTAATCACGACAATTTACTAGACGCACTCTCCCGAGCTACGCTAGCTGGCTTTTGATACAGCTCACTTCAGATCGCACCCAAGGCTTCGTTATCCCTAATCCCGCCTTTAAACCCTCGGTTATTGATCCCTCATATACTCTGGGAGTGGTGTTGTTCAACAATTACCTAAATATGCACTCTCTCCCGAGTTATGCATACTAAATAGGCACAGCTAATTGAGAGCTCTTCAATTAACTACAATAAGAACGTAGTTGAACAAATAGAGATTATACTACGGCTCAATTATATAAAAACATAACAAGAATTTATCCTACAAAAGGTTCTATCAAAACTCTAGATAACAAATTAGCTATTCATAATAGTATGTAAAACTACAATACTAAAAGTCATAACCAACAATGAAAAATAGGAAGAGGAAAGAAAAACTTGTAGAAGAATTCCCAAGCCTTCCTCCTATTGTGTCTCTGCCTCCTTAGGTCAAATTTATGTCAAAAATATGTCCTCTCCAATTCTTGGCCGGTTTCCTTGGTTTAATATAGGGTTTATGGCTTAAAATCCCGTGTTTTGCACTTTGGTCCCTGAAATTTACGCATCCTGCCGCGGTTCCACTGCGGTCGCGCTGGAACCGCGTCCAAACACCCTTTCAGATTCTTCAGTTGTCCGCGACTGCCCTCTGCCGCGGTTCTGCCGCGGTCGCGGTTTTTGACCCTGTTCCGTTTGGAATTTGGAAAAACGTAAAACATGAAAGTTGTAGCCCTTTGAGTTAGCTTTCCAACCATATATTGTGGAGCTCAAATGGAGTTCTGAGTAAAAAGTTACGTCTATTTTAGTAGACATTGCGCAATATGCCTCTTCGAGTTTTCGTTTTATTGTTTTATCATCCGTTGATCCCCGAACGCGATCCCGGCTTAATTCCTTGAGCTATTACTCAGACTTCAAAGCTCCAAACCACTTAAATTCATTACATAACATCTATATAGCTCGGAATCACACCTACAAGGCATAAAACACACAATTAGTGCAAAACACTAGCGATTAAAGCGCAAACTCAACTAAAGTGCAGTAAATTAGAGTGTAATAATCGACTAAAATACGTAATTATAGCCTATCATCAATTCCCTTGACTGAAAGTTAGAGAGCACGTTTTAATGCACCTATGGCTGCAGAAAGAAAAGTCACTGTTACAGAATATATAGTTTCCTTGTATATAATATTACATCATATTTGTAGGAATTTTTAGGATTTTCAGGATTAGAATCCTCTTCGCATGTATTTAAACAATTGATTCTCTGAGTAATGATATAGAAGTTCCTCTATCATCTCTTTCGAATACATGGAATTAGAGCCGGTTATCTGTGTGTTGTGTGTCCTAGTGGCCCCATGTTATGTTGTCCAAGCTATAGTCTGGGTGTGCTGGAGGGGAGGAGGGGTGAGGGCGTTAAGTGTCCTATATTGGCTGAGGGATGGTTTGTTGTCTCCTTATATGGTCTTTGGCAATTCTCACCTCACGAGTTAAATGTTGTGGTTGAGTTAGGTACAAGGTCCATTTCTACACATGTAATTGTAAGAGATGGCAAAGAATTTCTATATCATTACTCAAAGAATCAACCGTCAAAATACATGTGAAGAGGACTCTAACTAAGGAAATTAAATTATAAAAATCTTAAAAATTCTTACAAATTTGATGTAGTATTATATATTCCATGTGTTTCAAAAAGAATGAACATATTACTATTTGTGGAATCAAACAAGATTTTTTTAATCATATTTTTTCGAATAGTTTTTGAATATTTTAAATTATTAACTATTGTGACTTATAGTACTTTCTATGTGGTTTCTAAATATGTATATTTTATTTAAAAAAACCTAAAGAATCTATGTCCGAATTCACACAAAAAATTAGTCGATTTGACATTGGTACTCCGAAAAGGTTCAAACAAATTGAAACAGAGGAAATACATAGAAACTGTATATTCTGTAACACTCCCCTCAAGTTGAAGCGTAGGTGTTAATCATGCCCAACTTGTTACAAACATTTTTCACTTGAGTGCTATCTAAAGCCCTTTTGAATATATCACCTCGCTCTCCTGTTTTTATATAGTTAGTGGTGATTAGGTTCTCTTGAATCTTCTCACGGATGAAATGGCAACTAACCTTGATATGCCAGTCGTTTTATGGTATAATGGATTTGAGGCAATGTGTAGAGCAACCTGACTATCATACCAAACTTTTGCCGGTGACAAAGGCTTCAAACCAATTTAAGTTAAAAGTGATGTATCTACAATATTTCGGAGGTGGACTGAGCCATAGCCTTATACTCGAATTTTCCACTGGATTGAGATACAACACTTTGTTTCCTTCTCCTCCATGATACAAGGTCCCTCCAACAAAGACACAATAGCAAGTAGTAGATCTTCTGTCAATTTCGATTCAGCCCAATTCGCATCTGTAGAACACACAATATTATCATGATCGTGGTCACTATACACTATGCCAAATCAAGGAGCTCCTTTCAAGTAACATAGGATTTGTTCCAAGCTACGCAATGTTCGACTGTAGGAACGGACATAATATCAACACTCATTAAAGGAGTTCTGAAAATCACAACAAGCTAAAGGGGAATAACTCTGAACTAGGTTATTTTTATGATGAACATATGGAGGCCATGTTTTCTACAACAATGGAGGCTTATTGGGCTCATGAAGGTGCCAATGAATTTGGAGAATTGGGCCACAAATTTAAAATGCTTACATTAATTAGCCATTTAGCCTTAGTCCAATTAAGGCCCAAGAATTTCAAGAAATTGAATAACTCCAAGAATCCATTCACGATTAGGATTTCTTTTCCTCAAAGATTAGGATTTCTTTTCCTCAAAGATGCTTAATTCTTGTTTTAGTGGGGTTATATTTATAGTTCTAGTTAAACTAGGATTGTTAGTTGGTATTCCATTCCTACTAGATTTCTTTTTCCTATTTTAGTTACGATAGGTTTTCTTAGCCTTATTCTTATTCTAGTTTAATTAGGATTAGTTTTCTTTGACCTTATCGATTTTGCTCATTGTAAGGCCTATTTAAAGGGCTTAATATGCTGAAAATAAACATTTATGATTAGTTTTTCTAAGCTCTTGCTTCAAAAACGTGATTAACTTTTTATTTCATTGTTCTTCCTTTATTCAACGCTTCTTGCAATCTTGCGGGATTGAAGAACGTGTAGGTGAGGTTTCTTTTCATCTTACATTCTTCTAATGTCGGTTTGAAGAACGCTTTCGCTAGTTTTGTGAAAACCTTTAGCGGGTGCTTTTGTTTTTCTCTCTTCTTTGTGCTTGAGAGGTGCAAGCTAAAGGGGAATAACTCTAAACTAGGTTATTTATAGCTACTAAGCATATTACAGAAATGGCCAAAAATGGGCATTGATTGTAATTGCGGATCTGGCCTGGACATAGTGCACGCGGACACAACTAAGGCCACGCGATTGCACTTTATGGCCTGCGATTCTTGTCCTCTTTGTTTTCGCGAACGCGGACCATTGGCTTCAAATAACCTCCTGCGATAGCGGCCAATGTCCTGTAACTCCATCTTGACGATCGCGAGTTGGTCCTCATGATTGGGACCTGGTCCTCGTGGCCACAACTCCGGAGGATCTTCAAAGTTTGGCGATAGTGGTCGGGAGGCTTGCAAACGTGTTTGACACCTGAACAGCCCAAAAACTGTAGCTTGAGCTAAGCTACTAAGCTTGATTTTGGACCTTTGGAAGCACTCCGTGCACTTGATATTAACTTGCATGAGCTCCACATTGTGAGTGCTAGTCCAGAAGCTATGATACTCTGAACAACAGACCATGTTTCTGAGAAGGAATAATTTTGACCAAGTTTGTCTATCTCTTTGGTCAGTTTGAATTCGGATCTTCGAAAAGAGTAAGGGGGAGATTTACCAAATATCAACTCAAAACTGATTCACTGTCACCTTTGTGATGTTCAAATGCTATGCTTTATCACTTTTTCCCCCGAAGTGTCGTTGTATGACACATAAGTTCAATACTTTGATAGCCCACACAACTTTAAAATCACATTTGTTCTTTCTCCTTTCTCGATTCTCTTGGTATCTCAATTTAAACATAATACTGAATTGCTCGGTAAGTTATGCTATTCCAACTTCTGCATTGCTAAAACAAATTCCTAATATCTCAAATAAGGGACTCCTCTTGTATTTTAATTAGATATTCAACACCACGTTAGTGCTGCCAGCAATGAAATTTAATTTACTGATGAAAAGCTGAAGCTGGTTTAGTTGCTTCTTTGAAGGCACTGGAAGCAGTTACAAAGGTGCTGGATATGACAAATAAGAAGAGAATTGATATCGAATTACTTGAGAGGATGTTGCAAGAGCTAGAATTACGGACTTCGACTAGGGATTCTGAATTGCATGCTTTGAGGGATAGCACCGGTTCTGCTGAGGCTGGCTCGAATATGATTAATGCTGATACATCGACCAGCTCAGACGTAGATTTGGCAAGAGAACGCGAAACTGAGTACTTGATTCAGTCAGTGGGGAAAATCCTACGGCAGGTAAATATCAATTTGACATCTTTCCTTGGCTTTTGTTTTGTTTCTGCGGTTTTCTGTCACTGAATAAAAATGGATCTTCAGCTGCTAAGTTCAAACTGCCATTTATTTGTTCTGCTCCTGAATCCTGATTCCTTAAAACAATTACTTGCACAACAGTCACAAGGCTCTTAAAGGCCACATGTGGACAAGAAACTGGTAAGCATAAAGTAGAGAACTTGATTTCATGTCATGAGCATTGTCTATTAGCAATACGGAGAACTTAGGAAAAGCAGACAGGTTTATGTGTTTTTTTGTATGTCTTTCATGCTTGTCAATCAACCTTTAGATTAGAAGCAAAATTCTCATAGCATGTATGCTGTCTTTGCTTCTTGTGCGCTGCTTTGATTAACTCACTCCCTAAAATGTTTTACTTCTGTTGACGATTTGTCCGTCTTGGGGAGGTCTTTTATTGTGCAACCTGCAGGGGATGAGTAGTGTCACTAAAAATGACCTTTGGGTATAAGTATTTCTTGGGCTTATATAAATTGATCTGGTTGATAGGGGAATCATCTACTTGAGAAACCACTGCAAAAATGGCACAAGTGTATTATGTAGCATCACATTTAAGAACCTTTTCCTCTGTTGCAGATCGTTCAAACTGGTGGGAATGCTGAGATTTGGGGCCTCTATGCCAGGTGGCATAAACTCAAAGGAGATCTTGCAATGTGTTCAGAGGCCCTTCTTAAGCAAGTCAGATCATACCAGGTATGACTGCAAATTCATTGTTTTGATGTTTCTGTGCTTGTGCCGACATTTTGATATCATTGACTTGGTGAAGCTGCTTCTCAAATGTCTGTCATCGCCCAATTAATCTTTTGATCTGTTTCTCCATTTCTGCTAGTATTCATAAAAATGCTGTACTGTTGGTTCACATGTTTGTCTTTTTTTTTTCCTCGGAAAATTTTAGAGCTTGAATCCTTCATCATTGATGATGTGATGGCGTTACTGCTCAATAGACTCTTTTTGTCGTTTGGACTTTGGATAGCATTCCCAGTGTCAAGGACTGTTTACAAACCCTTGGCAGCTTATTCTCTAATCTATGTTCTCAGAAATCTTGTAAGGAACAGAGGGACTGTAGTTTGGTGTGGCCAAATGCTTTATAAAGGAACCTTCTCAAACAAAAACAAAAAAAGACCACCTCAAAAAGTGCTTTATAAAGGAAAGTTAAGCTATTTTTCTGTAAGCACTAAAGAAATAAGAAATTACCGTGCTATTTTTCAGTAAGCAGTAAGAAATAGCTATACAGGCTGGACACCATCACTGAGGATCCGATTAGATCTTCCGCGAGTTCTGCTTTGCACATTTGCAGAATAATGATAGTTTAGGTTTGCCATGTTGATATACCTAGTGGATATTAGTTGATATACCTAGTGGATATTAGCTAGAACAGCAGGGCCCCAGAAAGATAGATATTTGGTAGGTTAAGATGATAAAGTAATGCTGAATAAGATTAGGAGAGGAGAGAGGAGAGAGGAGAGAGGAGAGAGGAGAGAGGAGAGAGGAGAGGAGAGGGAGATGATTGATAGATTAGGTTCTTCATGGTTCATTTATGCTGGTAGGGCAAGTGTTAATGCTTATGGTTCATAATGGAGCAAAAACCATGACTAACGATTTAGTCTTTAATGGTATCCACGACATATAAATGTTCATCAGTTTTTGGTTAATGGTTCTCCAATGGTGCATCTCTGCAGCAGTTTGAACATTCATACATATGGTTTATAATGCTCTGCTATGAGGTGCACACTTGTGTGCTCTAAAGGAACATAGAATTAAATTTCCTGTCACTGTTATCGCGGACTTCCTGCATATTGCAGAGCATATTGCTTGTCTTCCGATTAATCCAATAATGTCAGCTCCCTGGACTCTTTTGTGTTGTGAAAAAACAGTGTAAATTTCTTGGGCTAATGGCATTTGCCAGAATATAGAAGTCCTTGTACAGGCTTTAGATAATTTATCAAGCTTTGACATTTTACTTTCTCATTCCAATCTCCCAACAATCACTTGACAGGGATCTGACTTATGGAAGGATAAAGACCGGTTTGCAAAGTTTGCACGTGCCTCGTTAGAACTCTGCAAGGTTTACCAGGAAATAGCTCGACGTAATGGTAGCCGTAGGGAGTTATCTGCAGCGGAGATGCACTTAAAAAGCACAATCAAGCAGGTAGTTCTTTTAGTCTCCAAAACTAATGTGCTTGAAGCCTTCTTATGACAGATACTTTCTTCGTGCAGTATACCTTGTCTTAACCAGTGCTAAGCAGGGCAACTCTCTTTCTGTGAATTTCAGGCTGAGGCTTTTTCTGACACCAAAGAGTATCAAGATATCTTGGCATGCTTTGATGAGGTGAAGGCAGCACAAACCTCCTCAATTGCTGTGGCATAAGGCACAATATGCTTTCTGCTGAGTCATTTCTTCAAAGGGGTGAAGTCAACATCTCCTTAACAAACATATCGGCTGGTACAACACATTCTGTCCAAAGATAAATAAATCAGTTCTTGGAAGTAATTTAATTTCCTAAGGGATTTGTTCCAAAATTACGGACCTGTTCATTTTCCAGGGGAAAAGGTGTCTGCTTAAAAGGGCATAGAATTGATCTTATGTTTAAAATTGGTCGGTGGAAATGCAGGATTAGATGGTGGTGAATTATAACACTCTCAACTTCTAGGCAGTGAAGAGATGCAAGCTATGATAGTTGAGACATCTGCAGACTTTGATCTATGTCAAGATACGTAATTTATTGTATGTCAATGTTGTTTCAGATGACTGGTTTGGAAATTTGTTGTAATTTTGGTTAGTAAATGTCATGATAATTTCTCACTTCAGAATCTGTGATGGTGTTCAATGTAAGTTACAGTTGTGGCCCCTTTTGGAGAAAATATTGATTTTTTGAGGTGTTCTTTGTGGCCCCTTGTAGAGAATATTTTTTTTTTGTGTCCCAAACTTCCAATAAATTTCTTTTTATTCTTTGGTTACCCTAAATAAGACACGTTCTTTTGCCTATTACCTTCAGCTGTATGTAATGGACCATGTGATATTTTTAAAGAGTTAATATTTTTTTTTACGACAATGACAAAAATATATTAATTCTAATGCTACAATCAACTGTCGCAGCTAAATGATAGAATGTGAATATCAAGAACAATAAAATGCAAAGTAAACCAAGAAAACAGGAAAATATGTCTTGTTGAATATCTCCAAGTGGCTGAGCTTTAATATCTTCTTACTTCACAAATTTGAGAAAGGAAATCTAACTGCACACAAACTAATAAGGATGAAAAATGCAAAAATCGTAATTTCAATTTACCCATCTCAAGCAACCATTGCAACAGAAGCAGCTACACAGATCCCTGAACCTCTGCAATAGATATTTTCTTATCTGCTGACCATTTTGGGCGAAGTGCACCAGTAGTTTTTTTAAGCATGTTATTTAAAATATATTTATAATTTACAATATATTTAAAGATTAGCCAATTCATCCAAACTTTACGACTAATAGCCTATTTGGCCAAGCTGTAAAAATCAACTTATTTTGAAAAGTATTTTTCTCAAAAATACTTTCAGCGAGAAGCAGTTTGTGTTTGGCTAATCAATTTGAAAAGACTTCTGAGCAACAATTAGTGTTTGACCAAGTTTTTAAAAACTGCTTCTAAGTGTATTTTTCTCAAAAGTAGTTTTCAAAAAGAAGCTACTTTTTTCTGCTTCTCCAAAACTACTTCTGCTTCTCTTCAAAAGAACTCTTTTTTCCTTCCAAAAGCTTGGCCAAACACCTCAATTTTTGGAAAAAACTACCTTTGGCTAAAAAACAAAGCACTTTTGGCCCCAAAAAAAACTTGGCCAAACATACTATAAGTATCCAAAATTTTCGTATCCTGAATTTTTGAATTGTTAATTTGAAATTAAAGACTTAGTGTCCTAAGTTTTTGAGTTGGTAAATTAAAGTTCAGGACTAAGTGTCCTGAATTTCTAAACTACTAATTTAGAATTCAGGACATAAGATTCGAATTTCTGCACATAATTTTCTAACTTTAGGACACGATGTCCTAAGTTTGAACTTTCAAATTTAAACTTCAAGACTCCATGTCCTGAAATTTGAACGAATTGGCTAATATTTAAATACATTATAAACTGGTAATAAATTTTAAAAAGCACATGTAAAAGTGGCTACCTGGTATCATTTCCACGACCATTTTAGAACTATTGCCATCATGGTGGTGAGCTAGAGGGTATAACGGGAAATGGAGCCCGTGTAACAAACTTAATTCAATGAAACAGTAATCAATTCCACCCAAACTTGTATTGATAAGCTGTAAAAAGAATTACAAGTAATTGCTCTGTTAAAGTTCCAAACAAACTTACAAAGGAATACTAAAAGTAACAGTAGATAAGAGAATTAGAGGGAGAGGAGGAACTCAGAAGGAGGAGAAGAGAACAGAATCATTCATAACAAATTGCCTGCTTGCACCAACCCCACTCATGATGCTTTATACTACTGCTTAGCCTATTTTACCCTTCTTCACGTGAACTTCCTTCTTTCCAAACGTAATCAACAAGTCTTTTAGGAGGAATGACCTTTCTAGAAGTCCTCCGTGGCAGTCCCATGTGCTCGTCTTGCGTGGCAACCCAATCATCTCTATTCTCATTCACAACAGTTGACTTCGTACTGTTATCAGGGAAACACAAGGGTTTCAGGTCCCTGTGTTGGTTCTCTATCTTCTGAAGTCATAGCAACTCATATTGGCTGGAGTCTGTTGATTTGAGTTGTGTACCAAGTGTGTCAGGTTCCTTATTGAGTTCCTTGACAGTAAGTTTGTTAAATCATCAAAATATAAAGCTAAGGTATTGTAAACCCATCAATTTCCCCCTTTTTGATTATGACAAACTTAGAAATTGATAACACATGTTTAGATCAAAATTAACCAGATGAAGTAACATGAACTTCACAAGTTCCCCCTGACTTTATGCTTCCCCCTTAATCAGATTCCTGTTTCAATTATGCTTCCCCCTTTTGGCATCATTAAAAATACACAAGCAAGTAATCAGCATAAAGAAGTCTAGCCGAGCTAACTCATGCCACATATGTGCACACAACATGATAGAAAAGAGAAGAAGAGAAACATATGCAATAAACAACAAAAGAGGATAGTTTTGTAAAACATAAGCCTTTGCCATTACAACAAGACAGAAATTGGACTGTTATCAGCGAGAGCAGTACAAATACATTCCATCCACATAACAAAAGAAAAACAAAAAGAAACAACCGCCATAGTCATCAAAACAAAAAGAGATAATCTAGAAACTAGTCACTGAAAGGGTTAGCCTAGGGGAAACTAAAGGTAGAGGGCTTAGAAGCTGCTGCAAGAGTATTGAGAACGAGATCAATTTGGGCATTGGCCGACATTTTCTCTGCGAGCAGTTTCTCCTTCAGGTTCTCCACTAGTTGCCTGAGATCAACATTTTCTTTGCTCAGACGAGCGATTTCCTCATTTGACCCTGGTGCCCCTTGGGCCTGCTGACTCTCCAGAATGGCATTCCTTGCCCTCAACTTCCTAATCTCCTCAGTAGCACTATTCTGGGCATTGATGAGCTGAGAGATCGTTGAAGTGCTTCCTACTCCTCCACCTCTTTCAATACATTCACATTCTTCCAAAGTAGTTTGGGAGAAGGTCTGCTTCTTGGTCCCCATCTTAGGTTGTCCCAAAGGCACTTCGAAGAACTTGAAAACATGCGTGAGAAGAAATCCATATGCAAGACCATGGTTTTCATCTTTAAAAGTTGCCACCTTTTGCATGTGCTCAATTATGATGGCTCGCATGTTTACAGCCCTAAACCCATCCAGTGCTTCCATCAAATACAAGTCAGACTTGGAAGTAATGGACCTTCTCTCAGCACGGGGTAGAAAAACCTTGTTTACCAACTCAAGTAGCAATTGGTAAACGGGAAGTAGAGCTTTCTTGTGAACCAGTTCCCCCCGCTGGACTGCACCTTCCTTCACAATATCATTCCTAAAATATGACCCACACACATTTTTGACAAAGGACATACCATCGGCAGGGACCTTAAGTATGTCCCTAAGCAAAGCAGCATCCAACACAGTATCAACTCCATTGACCAAAGCACAAATACGATCAGTTTCAACAGGAAAGAGGTCAACATCGAAACTTTGGACCTCATCCTTATAGACTTTGGACACATCTACCTTGAACAGATGTCCCCACTGTTGAAACTCGATCATGTCAATTATTTGTCTCATTTCGACCATTTCATAGATCTCTAGGTCAAAAGTGTGACCCCACATAACCTTTTGGTACCTTAGCCTTTCCTTAGCAGACATACTCTCACGCTTCACTCTCTTTGCAGAATCAGGTTCCCTCACAGTTTCCCCTTCCTTTTCCAGACTTCACACTCGATTTTCCGTTTCTACTTGACTTTACTAACATATCCTCATCAGACAGTTACTTTTCACTCACAACTTGTTTCAACCCACCACCTTTCACTGATTTAGAACTTGGCATAGTAACACTTTCCTCTCGTTTCTTTTTCTGAAACCTTTTCACCAAGGAACTTGGTTCCTCTGCTGCTTCCTCATCTACTTCCACTATAGGAATGTTTTTGTAACACACAACCTCTCCATTTTTTACTAGCCTCTTTTTCTTCTTCTTGTTGCGTCTTTTGCTCTTCTGTAAGGCAGACTCATAAGCCTCTTTTGCTTGCAACCTAGTAGTAGGTCGTTTAGGAGAAAGCTTAGGAGTGAGTACTGTCCTCCTCTTGGCAATGAGCGCCTCTAGAGCAACATTATCTTGATCTTCTTCATCACTGGACCTCATAGCAGGAAATAAAATTTCCAAGGGCTCAAAATCAAAGTAAGGAGAAGGAGCAGGGTCAAAACTGACCTGGGAAGAGGATCCTTGACCTATTTCCTCAGCAGAGGGGTCAGGTCCTTTAAGAGGGGTACTAGTAGTTTCTGCTGGTGTAGAATTTCCAAAGAGCACCACAACTCCTTCTTCTTCTGGCAACTGTGTCTCTTAAGGGTGGGCGTTCGGTATTTCGGTTCGGTATGTAAGAATTTCGGTTCGGTATTTCGGTATTCGGTTTATCAATTGTGTATACCAAATACCATACCAAAATATTTCTGTACGGTTCGGTATTTCTTATTTTGGTTCGATACGGTTTCGGTTTGACAATCAATGAATAATCAATGCTAAGTGCTAACGCCTAACAATGCACATGCATAATTGAAATTTTCACTCTAAAAGAATATGTTTTCCGATATATAACAATGCACAACTGCACAATGTGCACATGGCTGAAACAAGAATAACATATTATATTCTCTTAATTCTGGTTGAAACCTGAAAGTCTGAAACCCCTGTGATGTGAATCTGTGATAACCAATTCACAATTTCACATGGCTTAAGAATAATTGAAAAGCAAAAGCTGAACAAGACAACAACTTCTTTACAATCTGGCAATCTGCAGTTGCACGCCAGTATACTCAATACTGTATGTCATATTATACAATATTACAATCTGCACAATGCACAATGAATCTGGCCAGTATACTGTAGTTGGCAAAAGCTGGCCAACTGCACATTGCACATTACACAACTATATTAAACAACTTAAACACAGTTAAACACATAACACAGTCCAACAAGTCCAACAACTTAAAAACAGTTAAACAAGTTAAACACAGTCCAAGCTCGAGCCACATTGAAACGATTGAAGGAAGAAGTCCAAGCTCGAGCCACATTGAAAATACGCAGTGAAGTAGTATTTCTGCACTCAAAAACAGCTGTAACATACTGATCCTGCTAAATGGAGAAAGTGTCTTTTGAATTTTACAACAGACATCTGGAAAAATCATTTGGTATTTTGATGAAGACTTTCTACCTAAATT